CTCTCTCTCTCTCTCTCTCTCTCTCTCTCTCTCTCTCTCCATCTTGCATCCTCCCTCCCTCAATCCCTCCCTCCCCCTCTCTCTTTCAGACACACACACACACACTATAGCCAAAAGACCTAAAATTTAATGTGGTCTCTGACCAAAGGCATAGAGGTCAGCTGGCCATAAAGCGCATGTGACATCTCCCCAAAGGATGGGTAACATTCTAGGGAAGAAAGAGTCTGAGAATGATTATTCTGGGTAATCTGGGTTTTGTCTGCCTCTATAGTAAAAGGTAGGTGAGGTCTGCCTCCACAGATAGCAGTGATCACATGGTCATTAACAAATCCCACTCCCAGCCTTTAGATAGAATGAAGGTATTTCTTCAGTGAGAAGAGGACCCTGTGTGTTTAACATCCCTGTTTCCCTAGTGATCTGTGGATACAAAGACCTTTGTGCCCTCAACATTTTCTGGCTCATTAAAAAGTGGATCTCTCCTGCAGGTGGGAGAATTAGCATCAGGCAAAGATGAGGTCTCTATTTGGCTCTCCAATGCAATGTGGTCATTTGTGAAGCCATTTGTACACAACCAACAGAAATGGACTCAGTAAGTTTTATTCATAAAATTGAACATACTTATTCACAAATACTTAACCCACTTCAGAATTCTAGTTTATACTGAAGACCAGCTGAGACACACATCAACATGAACTGAACCACTATTAGATAGCCGTTGTTCGGCTAGTTAGACCACAGCCTGTGAAATATTCCAATAAACCCACTTTCTACATACATAGATGATCCTATCAGGTCAGATCAGCTAGAGAACTTTTACTAACACAGCTCTGTGTGTGGATGTGTGTTCACCATCCCACTGAGGAAGACATGCCGGCTAACAATAGTGCTCCACAGGGTTTGTCGTCTGTTTCCTTTTTTCCTCCCAGCGTTCTCATACCTACGAGGTGAATACTAGCTATGGTTTACCTAAGCCCAGCATGAAGGACTCTACCCAAGCCAAATTCGAGTATTTGCGGGTTTGTTGGGGCAGCTCTCTAGTGGGTTCACTGATCCCAAGGTACCAGAGGGTTCACTAGTTCCCAAGGAGGTCAGTTTTATGTGTTAAATGTATGCGTGTCAGCCGCTTGTCCCAGGTCTGAATCCCAACAGCCACAAAACAAAAATATTGTTTCCCAAAATCTCTCTTTAATTGTTAATATCCTGGAACCCTTTTGCATTTGGGGCAGATTGGTAACTTCACTGCAAGTTGAGTAATTGGCTATGTAAGCTATCCACCTTGATTCCAGGAGGAAGAAGGGGAAGAGCCAGGAGGAAGAAGGGGAAGAGTGAGGGAAGAGTGAGGGAAGCTCAGGCTGAAGTCAGGACCTGGTGAGCACAGGGTCACTGCCCACAAAGGGGAGGAGCAGGCGGGTGAGCAGTGGGAGGTGGAGTTCCCCCCTGGGGCTAGGTGAGGAGACGGATGGGTAGGCTATTGGAGGACAAACACTAGTGCTACTGAAACGCAAATCCCTGCAGATCTTGAAAACGTCTGGTCCTGGACTGGAAGCCCGGGCCAGGAACAATTCTACACAATGTCCCTTAAGCTCACGCTAACGCTAAGGGAAGTGCTCATGTCACTCAAGACTCACTAGCCAATCAGAGCCTTGAGGCGGACCTGCCAGTCAGAAGAAGAGGCGGATTCTTCCGGGTGCCCTGCGGCAGGCTTTACTGTTTCGGTGTGAAGTGATTTCTTTCTTGCCACAGGATGCTATGAAGGGCGCTCAGGCAAACTCCGAAATTGTGACATGGTGAGCACAGGGTCACTGCCAACAACCGGGAGGAGCGGGGAGCTGAGCAGCGGGAGCTGATGCGGTTTTTTCCTCCGGGACAGGGCGGGAACCGGCGGCCAGATGCGGCCAACTGTGAGGACACTGTTCCTCGCTGGACCCAGCGGTAGCCATTGAATAACTTCTCTGTGGGGGCTGCATCTGCGCAGAGCATTTGGAAAAGTGGCTTGTGTTTAGAAACATCCTTGGCATTATGTCAAATCCAGAAAGCTCTAGTTTCTACAAGTTCTGTTCTTAGCATTTCACATTAAGGTGTACGATCCTTTTGGAGTTAATTTTGTGGAGGCTGTAAAAGGCATCTCATATGTTGGGGAGCAATTTAGTAACACTCTGGGATGTGAAAGAGTAGAATTGATGATGTAAAGGATTTACTAATGCTTAGAAGATGGTAAGCCACACAAAGTAGAAATTAGCCTGTAAAACACGCCATAGGTAAGTGTGTGCTAACCGGGCCTGTTACAGATTAGAATGCTGAGATGCACATGTTTGTTCACCAGGATTGTCCAAAAAATGGCTCTAAACCCAAACAAGGGAAACAACCCTGGTTTACAACCAGCCACTAGGCCCATCCCCATAGCAAAGAACAGGCCTCTAACAAGCTGCTCTATGAGCCCTTACAGGATCACAGCCAACAGAAACGCCTGCTGTGCCATAAAGGTTTGGTTTCATTCTTGAGAAAAGCATACTTCTGTCACATGGGCAAGATGACACCTGGTGACAACCATTTGAAAAGTAAAAAAAAAACCAGAAAAACAAAACAAACAAAAAACCCCATGGTTGTGTTGAGTGCTAGTCTGGGGCCTACTCCTTGGGAGCTTTCCCTGAGGAATAGAGATAAAACAGAGCCCTTTCTCTAAAACCAGGAATATCCTTTAAAAAGCTGATAATGGTCTGGGGCCAGGGAGGGGCTGCTTCAGATGCTGAGAGCACAACTCTTCCCACCCTGTGGTGCTGTGGTTATCAGTCCCAAGGCCACTTGAGGCTTGGTCCGGAATGTTTTTGAGATACTCTGAGTTCCCCTGGTGCAGCACTGTGTGACTGGACTCCTCCTGAGTGTGTCCTATTTTATGATGTTTGGCTGACTTCACACTTTCTTTATATGTTTCCTTCCATTTCCCCCGTGTAAGTAGTATATGTGATGGTATTCTTCTTAAGAAGCTTAGTTAGCATAAGAAATAGCTTGTGCAAGACCTTGAGCCTCAGTGTATTTCTTCTTATCCTTCCATGCCTCAGCAGGGTGGAAAAATCTGCCAACAGACCCTGACCCATCTGTAGCTGGGCAGCCTTGAGTACTTGTGTGGTGCTTTGAGTGCTGCTGCTGGGTGCTGTGAGGAGAGTTCAGACCAGCACCGAGGCCGTGACATGGTGAGCACAGGGCCACTGCTCACATTGGGGAGGAGCAAGCTGTTGAGCAGTGGGAGCTGGTATAGTGGGTCCTCCCTGGGACACAATGCAGCAGCCACCTGCACTGGACCAGGCAGTGGTCTCTGAAAAACTTCGCTATGGTGTGTTTGTCAGGAGGTTTGGGGGGGGGGGGTGCAGGGGTACGTCTACTCAAAGCATTTGGAGCAGGGGCTTGTGTGTAGAAACGTCAGTGACAAGATGCCAAACTCAGAAAGCCCTAGTTGCTCTAATGTCTTCTACAAGTTCTGCCCTTAGCATTTAACGTTTAGATGTAAGATCCATTTGGCGTTAATTTTATAGAGGTTGTAAAAGGCATCTCATGTGTTGGATAACACTGCAATATTAACCTGAGACATAGAAGAGTAGAATTAATGATGTAAAAGATTTACCAATGCTTAGGAAATAGTGATACCAAGTAGAATTTAGCAGAGGGAAGACTACCTCCCAAACACCCCTCAAATAAACAGTCTACTAACCAGTCTGTTATAGACTAGGATGCTATGATACACATTTGTTCACCAGCATTGTCCAGAAATTTGGCTTCAAACCATGACAAAAGAGACAACCTTTAATTACAACCAACCACTAGTCAAATCCTCACGTCAAAAAACGAGCCTCTAACAAGCCTGCTCAAGGGGGTATTAGAGGGTCCCAATCATCATTAAGGCCTGGTGTGCCTAAAGGCCCAGTTTTCTTCTTGAGAAAAGCATAGTTCTACCACATGGGGAGGACTTCCATTTGAGAAGGAAAAACACAGCCATAAGGCTGTCATGTATGAAGAGTAACATAGCTCCATCTCAAACCCAGGAACATGCTCTGCAGAGCCAATAACAGCCTGGGGCCTACGCCTTGGGAGCTTTCCCTAAGACCCCAGTGTATTGAGAATAAAACAGAGCTTCTTCCCAAAAGCCAAGAATCTGTTTGGGAGAGCTGGTCATGGTCTGGGGGCAGGGCCTTTGGGGAAGCATTGCTCCAGATCCTCAGAACCCAGCTCTTCCCACCACATGGGGCTGTGGTTATCAGTCCCGGGGCCATTGTAGCCATTGTGGTCAGTAATGTTCTTGAGATATTGTGAATTCTCCATGTGCAGCACTGTTTTATTAGACTCCTCCTGAGTTTGTCCCATTGTTTGATAGTTTCTAATGACTTCATAGAAGTCTCCCATTTCTTCCCATTTTCTCCCTGTAACTAATATTCTTAAGAGGCTTACTTAGTATAAAACAGCTTCTGCAAGGCCTCCCAACCCCAGCTTTTATACTTTCTACCTTCTACTTTTTCTTTTTCATCCTCTGGGACTTTCTACTTAGGAACCTGTCCCTGATGTTGTTTCAAGGCACTGGTGTACTTAAGAAATAATTCTAGGGGCACCTGGAGAGATGGCTTAGTGGTTAAGAACACTGACTGCTCTTCCAGAGGTCCTGAGCTCAATTTCCAGCAACCACATGGTGGCTCACAACCATCTGTAATAGAATCCAACGTCCTCTTCTGGTGTGTCTGAAGATAGCAACAGTGTACTCATATACATAAAATAAATAAATCTTTAAAGAAAGAAAGAATTCTGGGAATATCTTTGTAGTGTAAATGTCTGTCTAAGTGGCTAGACTTGCAGTCTCCAGTCCATATGGGTGACAGCATAGGTGGAAAATAAAATCTATTCTGAGCTGTCACTTCTTTGAGCATTAGCCAGAGTTGAATGCATGCTGTCATTAAAGAGATTTTCTCAAGAAATCTTTTCATTGTGTGTGCAGTAATTTCTCCCTGGGATGGCATATTAATTCTAGGAGAGCTGCGTCTTCAGCCTTTTAGAAGAATGTTTCTGAGAAAAGCTCTGTTTCCTCGGGTCACCTTGACCCCAGTCTGTTGCTCCCCAGGGCAATGACCTTGCTTTCCTCCTTATTACACTTCCCAAATCATTTAGTTAAAGGGCTGTACCACAACAGAGTTTTAAACTTACTCATTTGAGTGTGAACTGTTGATTGCAGTAGCAGGAGAAGGATTTGCATGCGGAGCGTGGCTTCTGCCTTTAGACAAGAACAGGGGAACAGTTTACTGTGTACACTGCATAGTGAGACAGGCTAGGCAATGGCTAGATCACAGGCTAAATTTAAGGGAGTCAGCTGCAGGGGCCACCACTATGAAGAAAGACCTGATTCAATCAGGGTGAGTAGTTTTGCAATTTCCCAGCATGTTTTAATTCATGTATGTGAAGGAAAACGGACCAGAATTGGGGGCTGTACAATTTGGGTAGGTTAGCTTGAGCCAATGAATATTGAATTACCAATGAGGAGACTGTCCTATGAAACTATATGCAAGCTTTGTTGACATAGTTAAGTCAGCTCAGAAACACATTGGCTGTGCTGTGTTTGTCAGATTACAGATCTTAGAAGCTAACACTGCACATAGGGATAGGGACAAGGTCCAACACTATCTTATCAGTGCCATTCTCTCTACCAGGGAATGGTGTGCTCTTTTTCAAAGTCAGTATGCCTATGTGGTCTTCAATTTTATTTATCTTTTTAAATAGTCTGTTGTTGGTATTACTTTTTAAATTTCATTTTCTTTACGTATTACTGCGCTAATCTCTCGTTTCTACTCTCCAATGTTTCCCAGTCATTAAGAATTCCATTCCTTTTGGTCAAGAGCTTTCATATTTGTTTCTGATTAGAGCAACATCTCCTGTAGCTCAGCCTTTCCTCATGCTGTGCAGTTAAGACTTGCTTTGAACACCTAATCTTACCTCTGCTGCCCTGTGCTTGGAAGAAAATCCTGTAACTCTTTCAGACTGGGCCCTGGCTGGTCAGGGCAAAGGAGAAGACACCAGTGAATGAGTGTCCTCCAACCTCCCTGCTTTTTTGCAGGAATCACATGTAAAGACAGACTTAGGTAAGAATTGACTTCATTGACCAACTTTGAAGCTGGTCTTGTCACAGCACAGAAAGGGACAAGGAGAAAGGAAGGTGACAGCCTTCCTGCTTTTACAGTAGTTGACATTACCAATGAGTAATCTAGTAATCAATTAGTGTGGATTCCTTGGGGGTTAGGGGGAGGGCAGGGGAGGGAAGAGCCTGTAGCCCTGGCAGTGGGAAGCTGTGGTGCTTATAACATCACTGTCATCCCCTCTCACAGTAGTTGACATTACCAATGAGTAATCTAGTAATCAATTAGTGTGGATTCCTTGGGGGTTAGGGGGAGGGCATTGGAGGGAAGAGCCTGTAGCCCTGGCAATGGGAAGCTGTGGTGCTTATAACATCACTGTCATCCCCTCTCCAGGAAAAAGACATCGGGACAGGTATGGCCCTCATGCCTCACTGGACAACAACAGGGGGCCGGAGCCACTACAAGGTCCCCTTCAATTACTGGAGGTCAGGCCTCTGTCCCCACCTTTGCAAGATTAGAATTGCCACAGCCCTTCTATACTTAGAGAGGGGAGGAGATGTCAGGGGCATCCCTGCTTATACACTGAAGGCCTAAAATCAGCCATAGGCCTAAAATCAGCAATAAGCCTGTCATACATGTATTCTAACACCTAGTCTTGGGTCTCTGTGGATAAAACTGAA